AATATAGTTTATTAAACTGGGAAAAAATTTATCAGCACAAAAGGAAAAAACGAATTCCTACGGATTGGCATGAGTAGCGATCGTTGCCGCTGCATTATTGTATGGAAATATAGCAGCACAGGCAGGTAAATCGATGTGTGCACAAAGGCCTGGTTCGACCGTTGGTCGTTGTTGTCCCTCCACTGCTTTATTACAATCTTCTATCGCCTTATCATCACCACTTCTTACGCCATGAATAAGGAAAGCGAAGCAACAAATGGAGAACAGCATTTCAGAAAAAAAAGGTTTTAGAATGAAATATTAAAGCATCAAAAATTCTTTTATATCCCATTCATTTTCTTTTTTGGAAGTTGTGTGGGTAGATTATCGTTTATCAAAATCTATTACGTCTGCCATTATGAATATTTATTCATCTGCTATTACCGATTCGTACTTGAAAAGATTTTCTCATTACCCATTACAATTATTTTATTTATTCCATTTTAAGTTTTAAAAAAAATTGAAAAATAATTTGCAAATCATTTCCTAATAATTGCTAGAAAAACTCTGTATTTTATCGTTATCTCTACCTTATCTTTGTTTTTATCATTTTTTCTTATCATTATCATTATCCGAGATTTTTCATTCAATGATTGAAACATTTTAAAACATTTTAATACCCAGGAATTGCAAATGAATTCATTCAAGAGATCTTTCATCGAATTATTAACTAGAAGTGTAGCCTTTTCTTCAACTTAGATTCTATGGATCTTTTTGCTCATTAATTTACCAGTTTAATCTTAAATTGCTTTATATTGCCCAATATTTTCTCCGAATATGAAAGTCTCAAATATTATTTTTTAGTACATTTTTATTTCTCAAATATTTTTGTATGCTTCAAATTTGAATTCCATTATTTGTGAAAAATATTTTATATATCATATATCATTATATATATCATTCGTATATCATTTCATTTTATGCTAATATAAAAATTTCAAATATATTTTAATAATAACTTGTTTTGGTGCGAATATTTTCGGAAATAGGCCATATTTCATCTTTTGCGATTGGGCTAATTATGAATGACGTTGACGATCTATTTGTCCTTATGCGGCCCACTGGAGGCCAAATAAAGCAAAGATAATTTGGACAAAGAGACAAATTGGGATAATTTCAATAATATTTGTTT